GCTGTTTAATAATTTGCTGCATACTTATTTAATATTCAGCCAGTAGACTGATACTATACCCTATGATTCAAGCTGAGAACACTGGGAATGTGCGATTATGTGCCTAATCAGAGGTGCGTAATACTGGAATCCAATGTCTGGCAAAACATAGACATGCATCTTCACTCCTCTGCTGAGGTTTCTGCTGATCATACTGTACATGCGAGAGGGAAATAGAGCAAATATTTACCAGATAATTAATAGTGGAACCGGTAACAGGCCTGCAAATTAGTGCCGGTCATCGGACATTGTCCGGCCAAATCTTACCTTTTGTCCGCGATTAAAGCTTTTTATGACTGGACATGTGACTGACCTGTTTAGGCTGGTCAAGTCTCCAATATCAAAAAATTGTTTATTATTTTTATTAAAGTGCTTATTAATTCAAGCACTTTCATTGGTCGAGAGCCATGATCTATTAGAGGACAGACGCATGGAATTAGGTCATATGAAACCTTATCCATATGAAACCTTATCCAATATTTTACAAACCCGGAATATCACTACAAAATATATATCTATACAAATAAGGGTATTTGTATAGATATTTATTTTGTAGTGATATTCCGGGTTTGTAAAATATAGACAACACTTCTTCACTATTTCCACAGGCGGCCCAATCTTACCCTAGTGTGTTATTAATTTATTACGTTATATCTTTATATAAATAGTATATTGAAAATCATTAGAAATCCTGTGTTATTAATTTATTACGTTACCATATATCTTTATATATAATAGTATAATGAAAAGCACTTAAATGTGTTTCCTGAAAGATTTTAACGAGAACCGGCCAAGATTGGCGTTGACAAGAGGTTAACGGCCATAGTTGGGGTTGACATGAGGATTAACAGCAGGAAATAATACAAGGCTGGTCACTTTGACCGTTAATTGGACTAATTGGGACAAACGCTGACAGAAATCAATCGAATAATGTGAACTTCGGCTGTCGCATCGTCGCCAAATTACATCGGAAGAGCGATAATTTTTACATAATATACTTTTCTTTAACAGAATTGAACAATAATCTTCCTGCAGAAAATGCCGAATTGAAACTTACAAATGTCTAATCTTCCGAGGTTCGTGACCGATCTGAATTCATGGCCTTCAAATTCGAATTACATGCTGCATTGTCAATGGTCGGCTTTCAAAACAACAACAGGCCATTTCTGGTAAGAGAGCGAACGTTTGGGGAGTTAGCGAATGGCCTCTGCGAATGGCCTGTTGTTGTTTTGAAAGCTGACCAATGACAATGCAGCGTGTAATTCGAATTTGAAGGCCATGAATTCAGATCGGTCACGAACCTCGGAAGATTAGACATTTGTAAGTTTCAATTAGCATTTTCTGCAGGAAGATTATTGTTCAATTCTGTTAGAGAAAAGTATATTATGTAAAAATTATCGCTCTTCCGATGTAACATAATTTGGCAACGATGCGACAGCCGAAGTTCGCGTTATTCGATTGATTTCTGTCAGCGTTTGTCCCAATTAGTCCAATTAATTTAATTTAATTTAATTTATTAACTTTGCCAGATAGTATTAACAGTTATTACAAAGTAATAATTAACGGTCAAAGTGACCAGCGTTGTATTATTTCTTGCTGTTAATCCTCATGTCAACCCTAACTATGGCTGTTAACCTCTTGTCAACGCCAATCTTGGCCGGTTCTCGTTAAAATCTTTCAGGAAACACATGTAAGTACTTTTCATTCTACTATTAATTATTTAACAAATATAAAACATTTTCCGTGTTGATATACAGTTATATCAACACGAGTGGAAATTGGGAAAACGAGAAATTGTGTGGAAACACGACGCCCGAAGGGCGGAGTGTTTTCACACAATTTCGAGTTTTCCCAACTTCCACGAGTGTTGATATAACTATATATCAATATGGAAAAAATGTTTTATATTTGTTTTATAATATAGCAATGTCAAAAGCCCGAAGAATAAGAACAATTTCCGTGTTACAAGCAGCGGAAAATTTCCCGTGTTGACATGGAGTTATATCAACACGGCTCTTAGCCAATCAGCGTTCAGAATTTACAAATGCTATATTATAAATAAAGATATAACGTAATAAATTAATAACACAGGATTTTCTAATGATTTTCAATATACTATTTATATAAAGATATAACGTAATAAATTAATAACACAGTGTAAGATTGGGTCGCCTGTGCTATTTCTTGCTGCATTAAGTCGATCGTAAAGGTGAAGTAATACGAGCAACAAAATTGCAGCAACTTGCAATAAAATCTGATCTCAACGCATGTTAATTGGAAATTTGTACTAATGTTGTCTCGGGTGTTGCAACTTGTGTGTGAACATTGCAATTAACACATGTTGAAGTAAGATTTTATTGCAAGTTGCTGTAATTTTGATGATGATGACAAAGAAAATATTTATTCAGGGATGTCCGATTCAGCATAGCTGCATGGTTTAAACGGAACAAAATTACAACATATATCACAAATATTTACGTACAATCTAATATTATTATAAAGTCTAATGAGTATTAAAGGCCTTTAGAAACTTCTTAAGATCTATCTTAAATTTTGAAAAACAAGTTTCATTTCTAAAACTTGATGCTGGCAAATTCCATGTTTTTGCTCCATATTGTATTGAAAAGAGCCTTCACTACTTTTTCGTTCTTGCTAAAGGTAATCGGAGTAAATCTCTATTTCTAGTATTATGGGCATGGATTTCATTTGCGAATCTAAATTCATGCAATAAATATGCAGGTGCTAGACCACTCAGGCACTTATTAAAAAACTTGCAAGCAAATTTGATAGGCCCTACGAGATTGTGAGGATGGCCAACTAAAGGTTAGGTTACTGTCACACTGCCTGATTCTACTCCCCAAAATGATAATAGCTGCCCTCCTTTGAAGCTTGTCCAGGAAGTCGCAGTTTGTTTTGCCACAGCTATCCCATATTGAGGAGCAGTAATCAAACAGAGGCAAAATCATGGCATTATATTTATATAATGTAATACATGTCTCCCAAGGCAGGATCTTTCGAGCCTTTCGTAGCATACCCAACGTAGATGAAATTTTGTTGGTAATAAAGTCGATATGATCATTGCAGGACAGACATGGATCAAGTACAACACCAAGATATTTGAACTTGCAAACTCTTTCTAGAGTGGTGTCTCTCGCCATCATTTGAAAACTACTAATTTTAGCAAGTCTCTGATTGGTATCTACTAACATTATCTTGGTCTTAGAATAATTTAGGAATAATGAATTAATTTATTCAGCAGTCTATTATGCGATTTAGATCTTCGGACAAAATATAGGCTCAATCGTTGTAATGGAGTTACTACTAAAATAGATTAAAGTGTCATCAGCATACAGCTGGATGTTACAATTCTTCACTACAGATGGTAATTCATTTATATATACTATAAATAGTAAGGGGCCCAATAGTGACCCTTCAGGAACTCCAAATGGAATAGATTGAGGGTCGGAAACTGCGCCATTTATAATGACACTTTGTGTCCTATTTGTAAGATATTTGTTAAACCAAAGGACTGAGGAAGCATTAAATCCTAATAGAGATAATTTTTCTTGCAAACTTGCCTTGCCCATATTTTGATTTTCTTTATCTCCTTGCAAACTTGCCTTAGCCGATAAGCTTGCTGCATTGTGCAGAGAAGATCATTTATTTCTTAATTTCATCACAGCTGTTTGAAAGTATTTGGCAAAACTTTGTGCAATCTCCCTTGGCTTACAAACTATTCCAAATTCACTCTCCAGACATCCAATGTTTGCAGTATTTTTAGTGTTGGAGATCACGCTCTTTAGAGTTTTCCATAATTTAGCCGAGACACTTTTATTTCATTGATGGTATTGGAGTAAAAGTCTCGCTTTGCATCTCTGATGAGGCGCGTTGTCTTATTGCATACTGTAGTTCTCTATACTTGTCCCACTCATCAGTACTCTTAGTTTTTTGCGCCCTTTTATGATGGAAATTTCGTTTGCGCATAAAAGTCCTTATATCAAAGGTTATCCAAGGGAGACTCTCTGCCCTGACTCTTCTTGATTGAAGTGGTGCATGATTTTCATTTACATTAATTAATGTTGATTTGAATACATTCCATGCTTCATTGACAGTTAAAGATTTATCAACTCCCTCCCATGAGGCACTATGCAAATCTGCAACAAATCTCTCGGATGAATAGTTTTTAAAATTTCTAAATTGAATATTCTTAAAACGTTTTTCGCGGTTTTCTGGCTCGTCTTATAAAAAAAATGAGTGAATGATCACTAATCGAACACTGCACATATTACTTTACCTTTAAGATTTATATAAATCTTGCTCGTATTACTTACCTTTAATATTTAATTATAAATCTACATCACCTTCATATATAACATGGTAGAAATTAAAATATGTATAACCTGAACTATAATTTACTGATGCATTAAGACTTGTAGATATACAGTATACTCAGTTTTAGATGCATTGCACTGCGGACTGTAACATGACCAGGCAAAAAAACATCCACTTAGAGGAAAAAGTTTGTGGAAAATTGAAATTTGAGGCAATATTAGGGAAATTTATCTTTCGATGTGGAAGCACTGACTAAACAAAATGGCGTCCGCTTGTTCGGAAAATTTTAAAAAAAGTTTAAAAAAAAAAGTTAAAACCGACCTACCCTACCTAAGTTTTTATAAGAAGAAACCGGAAACCCACATTTTTTTTTGGCCTTACTGGAAACAAAATTATTCTAATTTCAACTTGTTTATTTGTCCCCTGCATGCTCACATGAGTAAAGCCAGAGGGGCTTCAGTGGTGTAGTCGTCAGAGCAAGCGCCTTTCAACTCTGAGAATTAGATTTCGATTCTCACTACGGACTCCTGTGAAAATTAGAGTCAATCAATGCTCTGCCGAAAGTCAGGGGAGCCGGAAGGACTGAAAAGTGGCGGGGGCAGAATCTCGAAAAGGGCACTTGATGGCCGAAGGTGCGAGACCTTGTATGGGGTGTCCGGGGGCATCCTCTCCCGAGAAATTTTTAAATCTAGAGTCTCTGAAATACCATTTCATGCGTTTTGGGCGGAGATAGTTTAAGTATATTGGTCTAATATAATTAGTCAAATAAAGCCGGAATCCGAGGTTAAATATATCAAACACTGAACTGTCCAAAGTACTTTCGCCGCTTTTCATTCACTCGGACGAAATCTCTGCCAACCTTGGTGGTACAAACATCGTCCATGCGTTATTTTTTAATCATGCTGAACATTCGGTTTAGACTATTTCCGGACATTGTTAACCGTAGCCATGCATGATTTAATCTGTCGCATAGCGCTGAAACTTCTCTCTGCGGTTGCTGATCCTAGTGGTACAGTATGGCAAAGGCACAATAACTTCTGGGTTCTGGAAGGGTTTCTTTTTAACTTTGTTTCTGGTTCAAGACATCACAAATAGTAGAAACCTTAGTAATCTTCTTTATGGGAACTGTTGCCTCCTGATTGTAGTCTAAGAGCTTTATGTGGACAGGAATTTCTTCCAGCTCGTTCTTTAACTCTTCTATGTCGATTACGTCTGCTATTGCACCAATGCTATCGAAAAGTTCATCGTTACGTTAGTAAGGTCTTCCTTATTTGCCGCACGTAATAGACATATTTCTATACGTTCAAGAACTTGAAGGTCCTTCTGGTCAAAACGAGTCGTAATGGCTTCCACAGTATGAACGCGTCCAGAGTCTCGTAATGCTGTATATGCGCAGCATGCAGCTCTTCTCTCTCATTTAAAGTGCCTGGTGCAATTGGTGCCCTGGAATGGACCAGGTCTAGTCTGTCATATAAGCAGGCGTTGTTCTCTTTCTTTTTGCCAAGATTGATTCATCATCTTGCAGGGGTTTCAGAATAAGCCGGCGGCCGCTGGAGTTCCGACAGCTATGTTGCACTTTTCTGTCTTACACCGCAAGACAGTTGCGCTTCGTGAGGACTGTATACTATCAGAACAATACCATCGGAAACAGAACACACTCGCGTACTTATTTAAAACATATTTATTTAAACTATTCAAACGATAAAATATGTAACAAACAATCCTTCTGGTTTTCTCTCGTGCTTTCAGTCTGTCAATCAATTCAAAGTCTCTATTCATGACATACGATACATATCTTACGTCAATCAACTAAACCACCCATTGTTTGGTCTCCTACGGCGTTATCAATAATATAGTATTACAAATTATTCTACACACTCCCCCCTTTGAGCCTGTAAGGGTCAAACATGACTTGTGTTCTCCAACGTGCATCCAAAGCTGCTGCTCTCCTAGGTCTATTACTATGAACACAGCTTTCCACCTTACCCTTCTCTCCGTCTTTCTCATTCATTTCCGTCTTTCCTTTCTCATTAATTTTCGTCTTTCCTTTCTGGTTATCATACCCATCCACTTCATTTTCAACTTTATTATCCTTTCTTTCTTCCGTACTGCTTCCGTTCTCATTTAACTCTACAGGATACAATTTCTGAACTGGTCTATTAAGATATACTGGATTTCCTTTAGTCATCACTCTCACTTTCGCTCCTCGAACTACTTCATCTTTACCGACAATTAAACTCTCAATCCTACCTAACTTCCAAAATCCTCTCTTAAGGTACTCGTGAAATACTAAAACTACATCTCCCTTCTTCACGTTCCTATCACTCTTCTCCCTCTTACTTCTTTGATGCTCTCTCAAATTCGTCAAGTATTCCTTTCTCCATCTCTCCCAAAAGTGAACTCGCAGTTTCGCTAGATGCCTAAACCTACGCTTAACCTTTGTCTCATCATTCTCTTCAATTTTGTAACTAGTCTCGTCTGGAATTAAACTCAATCTACGACCAAAGATTAGATGATTCGGTGTTAGCACATCGTTTTCAACCTCATCGTAAATGTAGGTTAACGGTCTAGAATTCAACGTGCCTTCAACCTCAACTAAAGTCGTCAACAGTTCTTCGAATGTCAACTTGGCATTCCCCAGCACCTTACGTAAACACCTCTTCACCAAACCAACCAACCTTTCAAAGAATCCTCCCCACCAAGGCGCTCTCTCTAAATTAAACTGCCATTTCACACAATTATCTTGCATATAAGCTCTCACATTCCCGCTCTCGTACAACTTCTTCACTGCTTTCTGCGCTGCCTTAAAAGTTTTAGCATTGTCTGAAACAATAAGCGTCGGTGCCCCTCGCCTGCTTGCAAATCTCCTCAAACAGTTCAAGAAACTAGGTGCACTAAGATTTCTTACCAAATCCAAGTGAACTGCCCTCGTGACACAACACGTGAACAACGCTATGTACACCTTCACCATTTTACCACCTTCCTTTGCATACAACGGACCAGCAAAGTCAACCCCAACTTTAGCAAATGGTGGTGACTCCCGCACCCTGAAGTCCGGTAAACCTGCCTCATCAGGTTTTCCATAAGGCGTACCCCCATGTTTCTTACAGACAACACACTTACCGATCACCTTCTTCACTATTTGACGTCCTCGTGGCACCCAATACTTACCTCTCAATTCTGCCAGAGTAGCTCTGAGCCCGCAATGATGAACTCGTTTATGGCATGCGGATATAATCAACTCTGTTAGCCAATGCTCCTTCGGGAGAATAATTGGTTCCTTAGCTGCTTCTTCTAAATCTGAATTAGCGAGCCTACCCTTACATTTTAAAATCCCATCTCTATCAACCAAACCTAACTGTTTTACTAAATGCGGGAAATCTTTCTTATTCCTCAAACTGACTTGAGCATCCTTAATCAATGCACTCTCTGCATATCTTATCTCCTCTACTGTCAAATTACCTAAATAAATTTTCCTATATTGTGATTTTGCCTTTACATTCTGCACAAATCTCATTACCCAAGATGTTACCCTTATTAACCTATTAAGCTTACTATATGCCTTAACATCAATTACATTCTCTAAGCTGGCTGATTCACTATCAACCTGCACTGTCATTGTGACAGACTTCTTAACTTCCTTCAAACTATCTTCTGTTTCTGTAATCTCTGTAGCAACAGGC